ATGGCCGCACGCGGCGAGGAGCACCTCTACATCAAGCACTGTGCCGGCAGTGCGCCCACCCAGACGCTGCTCATGGAGATGCTGCACGCCAAGCGGAAGGTGTAGGGCCACGTGGAGCACTATATGGAATACTTAAATCATTTATGAAATGTAAATAACAAGGCAGGAAAATGGGGAAAAACCAACCCCAGAGGCAGAGGCAGGGGCAAAACGACACAACCCGAAACATAACCAGAACCAGAACCAGAACCAGAATGTGGAAAATGTCAAATGCTTTGCGAATGCGGAACGGCAGGAGGAGAGAGGAGAGAACGAGAATTCCATATAGAGTGTACTATATGGAGAATGCATCATCACTACTACCACCAACTATCAATCACACCAATAAACTTACACCACACTCTACACACCACACTCAACACACACATACACATTTGTTGATTCAATGTTAATTATTATTATGTTTATGGCTAGGTCTAGATTACGGTTACGTTTAATTAAATAATTAATTCGTTTTTTTTTTGTCTTAAATTAATGCGTGTCTTATTTTAAGTACCTCTGATGGAACACACAGTTAAACATTATACGATTATGTATTGTATGGATCTATAGAGCAACAGAACAGAGGAGAAAAGAAACCCAACTTCTTTAGGAACTAACAAAACGAAATGAAAATCAACAAAAAAAAACAAAACAAAACAAAGAGAAGCATAACAAATTTTATTTTTATACACACCTATATAAATATATATATATATGTATATGTATATGTATATGTACATGTATATACGATAATTATCGATACCAATCTATATATATGTATATATATACATTTTTATGTAAATTGGCGTAACTTTTAAGCGTTGCGTCCCACTTTTAAATCGTATAACTTTTACATCTATCTAGTATTTCGGTAGTTTTTTTTTTGTTTTTTTTTCTTAATTAAGTTTATACAAAAATTGTTTTCGTTTCCATTTCCGTTTCCACCTGTAGATTGAATCCTGTAACTTTTGCGCCAAGTGTCTTGCATAGTATTTGCGTCTAATCTAAAGGGAAATCCATACAAAGAAATTCGAAAGCAAAGCAAATTTAGGTGTTCATCAAAAAATACAAAATACAAAATGCAAAATGCAGAATGCAGAATGCAGCATGCAGTATAAGTGTATGTATATGTACAATACTATACGATAATTGTAACTCCAGTTAGCTCTAAGAAAACAATGCAAACAACTACCTACAAAACGAAGATGTGAATGATGGAGAACGAGATCGAGAACGAGAAGAGACGAGACGAGGACGAGGATGAGCAAGAAATTATATAAATGATAAAAACCATCATGTTTAAAACTATGTAGTAAATATACAATACAAGAACACACAGCCACACACACACACACACAGACACACATATATACAATATATTTAAATTTAGATGCAAGTTTCAACTGTTTGTAAATTTCAGAGAAAGTGTAACTCCATTAATTCAGTGTAAAGCTTGTAATTATATAATAATTATAATATATTTTGTGCAAAGCAAGAAAAAAAAATGCTAAATCAGTTTCAACAAAAAACAAAACAAAAGAAAACAGAAATCAGAAGGGTATAGCAGAAGCAAATGGTTAAAAATAAAGTACACAAAAGTTAAACAACATTTTGAAAACTAAATGGAAGAGATGCTTAGCCAAGAATTGGGGCAATGAGGCGAAACCGTAATCGAATCAAACAGAAATCGAAATAAAAAACCAAATAAAATGTATTTAAAGATAACATTTGATTGAAACCACTCTCAAATCGAATATTAAGTAAAACAATATTTCATTTAAATTTAAACATGCATAAACGTTTTTTTTTTTTTTAATTTTTTTTATAGTTTTTGTATATACTTTTAGATTGTTTAGCCCCTTGGAATCCTTTCGCATTCATCAAAATCATTGCCCCAATTGTTTTCCAGGCATTGCGCTTAAACAAAACGTACCTTATAACATTAAACGATTATTGAATTCAAAATGCAGTAAACAGAAACTATTATTAACACACACACACATACACACCACACACACACACATACACTTCGAATTCAAAGGCAGCCTAGCATGCATGTATGTATTTAAGAAAAGCAGAAAATCCACAAAAAATCGTTAAAGGTGTAAAAAAAAACAACTTAGCCGAAGAGCGCATCACCGTGATGTGCTGATAAGAAGTTTTTTTTTTTTGAATGTTATGGATGTTGTTACGAGTATACATACATATATATTGTATTATGGGCCGTGGAGAACAGAGCAAAAACGAAGAAAACGAAGAAAGCACGACGACATCTACATAGTACATAGGCCTGCCTAGGTATATATATAATATGTATTTAGGTCTCTAGTTGGTATGTATAACTTCTGTATGTATTATAAAATGTAAAATCGGAAAGCTAAAATAAACAACAACAAAAGATATGGGTATATACTGTACAAGTACTGTACTGGCAATGCGAAGTGGCAGGATAGCTGAGAGGTTAGGCATAGGATAATGGATAATGGATAATGGATAATGAATAATGAATATGGAATAATGGATCGGTTATATGAATGTTAAGGAATGTATGTATGTAGGTACACGGACAAAGATTGTTAACGTCTAACGTGACGTGTAGTTGAAAACACACACACACACACACAAGTTAGTGGACGAAACGAACGGACCGATACACTATATTCAGAATTGTATGGATAAATTGTATGGCGGTTAGGTATGTTTATTGTAAAATTGATTACGATGTGAACCTGTTATTGCAAATGAAAAGTGATTTTAACTATTAAGCAAATCTCTATATAGATATATGTACATGTATGTGTATATCTATCATAAAACCAAGAAAATTTAACAAAAACAAACAAACAAAAAAAGGAGGATCTAACACTTATATATACATTTAAAGATTAATATAAAGTCAAGCAACACACACACACACACACAAACACACACACACACAGACATCTTAAGTTTGAAAAATTGTTCAATAACTAAACAAGAACAAAGGAGATCATTTAACTAGACACAAACTACCTAAAACTACTTGCATATTTAATGAATTTACTGATTTAATATGCTTTATTATTATGTATATGTTAACATACAATTTCATCTCAGAGATGTTTCAAACATGCAACCAACCAACAAACCAACCAACCAACAACAACAAGAAAAGCAAAGTGTAATAAAAATTAATTATAAAGTGAAGGCCTATTTGTGTCTATGAATAAGTCCAAATGTTGAATATCGTATATGTTGTCTTTGCCCAAAAGCTTTATTCGACCATCTACTCGTAGTACACATGTACGTTCGATGATTAAAAGGTTCAATTTTGTGCTGCGCCAATTGGTGATTGGTGTTGCCTCCTGCAGGGCTTAGGACATGTTAAAGTTCTGCGTAAAATCGTACTCGATGGTGGGTATTACGGTCTGAACGAACTTAAGAAATATTATCAAATATAAATGCACGCCCAGCTGACCGCCGCCCTCCTCGACTGTCTGGATAATCTTCTTCATGATGTCGGCATGGCGACAGGGATGCACCGAGGCCATATTGGGACCCGGCAAATGCGGATGCGATTCCATAGTGACAGTCTTTTTCGCATGATCCTGTGAGACGTCCTCGTACATTTGCTCGACGGTCAGCGGCTTGCGCTGCTCGTCGTAGCCCACCACCCAAAGACGTGGCGTCTGATAGTATTTGTCGTAGGTGATGTGCAGATCGTAGGTGCGCGTGTGGAGCACCGAATCGCCACTGGCCTCGGACGTGGCAGCAGCCGCAGGGCTGGACTTTGGTTCCGCTTCCAGCTTTCGTGTAGTGGTTGCCACGGCTGGGTCCACTAGGTCCAGCATGCCGCTCTCCTCGAACGCATCCATGTCAATGGCCTCGTCATCGTCCTCATCTTCGCCGTCAACAGCATCGCCTGGTGCCGACTTGTCGCTATCTGGAGTATGCATCTCATCCTACGGGAACGATAGTCGCTTAGAGGCTCCTTCAGATGAGATGACGGTTCGACGCACTCACCTTCGTCTCTTCCATTGTCAGTTCACAGATTTTCTCCTCCAGCTGTGTGGTGCCGTCATCGTTCAGCTGGTGTGTCTCCACCCAGCCGCCGTCGCCGGACTCTTCCTCCACCAGGGTCTCCTCGCCCACGTATTCCATTTGCTTGCAGCGTCGATAGCATGGCACGTTCCGAGTTATCAGGAATTGCTTATCTGCGGACGTAATTGGCTTAATTTGTAAATCGGTTCAGTAATAGCCGCGTCGCGTCGCATTACTCACCCTTCGGTAAGTACGGTTTTGTTTTCGTATCATCTCCCGCCGCCCACTGCCAGGTGGGGCAATGGTGTACTAAGTGATCGCCCGCTGCCACAAACTCCTCGGGCGTCAGTACGCCAGTCTCGCGAAATTTGGACTCCTAGAAGAAAGGGAAAATTAATAGGGGTGCTGAGGGCGTGTTTAATTGATTGAAATGTATGCGTCGCCAGTTGGACGCCAGTCGGCGGCCCAGGCATGAGCGCCTGGGGGGCTGGCCGAAGTCGTGGAAAGGGGCAATCAATAATGAATGGAAAGACCCCTTTGTTGTCCAGCACGCAGACATATCTATATGTGTATAGATTTGCAACCGATTTTTGATCTATCAGAGATTTCAATCTCCGTTCCAGCGCAACAACAAATAGAGAAACAACAATACCTTTAGCACTGGCGTTAAATATTCGGCCACATTTAGGGCTGTGCCCTTCACGGTGTTGAGCACGCTTTGCATTGCTCTTCCTGGATGAGTATTTTCTTTGTTCCAAACACCTCAACAATACAATCGAGTTGTCTTGTTATGTTTATTAACTTAATTTTCTCGTCAGCTAAATTATTTTGTTTCGGACAACATTAGCGAGACACGGTCACACTGCGTCTACCCTATCGATATATCAAGCTGGTGCAATCGATGGTTCAACACACGGTTGCACTCTGCGCGCACATTGTTTTTTTTTTTAAGAAAAAATGGACGAAAAAGTCTTGCCAAAGTTCGTCTTGCCTTCCCCCAAATTCGCCAGGACCGAAAATGAGGCAAACAGGACAACAATGCACTATTTGACGCCCAGTGGCATGACACTGCTGCCCCGCGCCAAGCAGCCCCCGCCGATGTACGGCGCTCGAGGCAGCACAGTACCAGCCAAATATCTACCCGTCGAACAGGTGGGATTTGAACGTGTTTTTTGGCACCCAGACATAAATTGAGAATTGAATCCCGTTCAGAGCCCGATTACATCCATGCCATGCCATGCTCCACCGATTTACAAATCTCCGCCCCGTCCCGAGCACTGTCACAACTGTGGCATGGAGCTGGCCAACGCGCAGGACATGAGGCGACATTTGGAGCAGCATGAGACATGTCCCGCAGAGGATTGCGACTTTGCCGCCCTGCACAACATAGTGGAGCGCCATATTGAAGCTAACCACATAACTGGGCTGTATACGAAAGTGAAAAGGGTGTGGACAGCCGAAGATACAGCCGCCTGGCGGGCAGAACGGAGAAAGAAGTAAGTACTGGATAGATCTCCATCTCAATGGACAGGGCAGCCTCACTCACTCTGCGCTTACAGATTTCCCACGGCAGCGAATGTGGAACTGGCCAAGCGTGCCAAGGAACAGCGCCTCAAACGCGGGGAGCGCCTGGAGGCTTCCAAATCTCGTTTTGGCAGACGCGAAGATCGGGCACGTACGCGACCCAACAGCTATCAAGAAAAGCGACCCAAATCTAACAAAAAGGGTAAAGGAAAGAGCCAACACGTGGACAAGAAGAAGGCGGATGAAAATATTCGCAAAGAAACAGATGCCTTGCAAGAGGAAACCTCGCATGTAAGTGGCACAGGCGTGCCCATGTTTCGCGGAACCGGACAAATGTTAGACTACGAGCATTTCAAAGATAACGTACAGGACAAGGAAAATGTTCTATGTGGCCTCTTGGGAATGTACGGCTCGGATAGTGAAGACAGCGAGATTGAGGCCGAAGAAGGAAACCGAAGTCAAGGGCAGAAAAGTCCCCAATTGGAGACAGTACGGCGTCTAGACAGCCCAGAGTGCAGTACACTGGAGAATGAAAGTTCTAGGGCTGATCCAATAGCCCCAAATACAGCTGTCCAAAAAAACACCCCCGAAACTTCTGAGGAGCCCATCATCAGTTCAGAGGACCTGGACCTGCTCAAGGAAAACAACTGCTCTTCTGATGAGGCACCTGATGAAGCGCCCATTCAGCGCGTAACCGAATCAATATCAGAGCCGGCTATAACCAAACCTCAATTCGTCGAGCCGAAACCCGGACCCTCCCGAAAACCAGCTGCTCCGAGGGCACAGAAGCGTATTTCCGGTCTCAACTACAATCGAGCCCGTAAAACGACGAAACAGAATACAATGCTCTCCAAGCTGTTGGCCGTCGATATCCGCCATGAGCGCAATGTCCTGCTGCAGTGTGTGCGCTATGTGTGCGAGAACAACTTCTTCGGCATCGGAGCAAGCGAAAATAAAGATCAAGTGAAGAATAGTTGAATATACGTAATTATTATTCCTATTCTGCTTACGAGTATGTAGTTGTGATAAGCTGAAACGCAGAATTTCAGTTGCTTAATTGTGTACCATCGAATAGAGTTGTACAATAAAATACTCCCACGCTGGAGACATTTATAAGCTGCCAGTCTCTCCACCAGGCTCAGCCGTTTCTAGCATTCAACTATTTCTTCGTTCCACTTCTTGTATAAGCCCATGCCCTGTATGAGCAGTACCACCTGAATGACTGCAAGCGAAATGAATGTAAGCAAGAAATCCATTTAATGGTAAGGAGGCATACTTACCAATCGGAAATATAAGGTAGCTCATGATACATGGCCCAACGTTGCTCAAGCATAGCCCTATACAGTAGACAGCCTTCTTTTTCTACGAGTACAAACGGTAATGTGTAGTAATTAAGCCAAGCCACCATTTGCGCCACTGCACAGGCAACACCTCTCACCTTTGATATGCCAACGCGGACCAATATCCCCGAAATTATAAGTAAAACAGCTCCAGACATATGCACACATCCAGCAGTAAAAAAATAGTCACCTTTTGAAGTAAATATGCTCAAGAGATTATTCTAATCCGTTTATGTAAACCGTATGTATGGACGAGTATTTCCAATATTTACCTGACGTCGTCATTAATCTATATGACCAATCCATCGAGAGCAGGCCAAAGATCACATTCCATATTGCGAACTTCTTCATTGCAACTGAAAGCTGACAATCCCGGCAACATTTACACATGTTTCAAATTTCATAAATTGAATAAAAGGCTCAAGAGAAATGTGTGTTTGTATGTGGTTGTATCTTTCCAATACTGTTCGTATTTCTTTAATATACATAAAAATAATTTTATGATTGTAATTAGAGTAAATGCCCGATCTGATCTGGTTTGTGGTCATCCGCAATAACCTTGGAGTACATGCATTTCCTTTTTATCGTTTTAGTCCTAGACATTTTATTATATATTCAGTTAGTGGACATTCCAGTAGATGCATCGCCACCTATGGCGTGTCCAACACCACCAGTGTCGGCACCTGGTGAGACACCTACGCCGCCGCCAGCCTGTTGCTGTTGTTGTTGCTGCTGGGCAACGGCTGCTGCAGCCTGCTGCTGTTGTTGCTGCTGCTGCTGGGCGGCGGCATGCTCTTGCTGTCGCTTCTGCTGTTGCCTGGCGGCGTGTGAATGCTTGGCTTTCGTCTCCTCCAGCTCACGGACTCGCGATCGGGCGTGCTGGATGCGGTGCCAGGCCATTTGCAGCACCTTCGCTGAGGCGTAGCCAGAACCCTCGTGCGGCTGTCCGGTCGAAACCTGTGTGAGGTAGTTTATTTGTTCCGAAAGTTTCGATTCGACACTGGACAAACTCTTGAGAAACTGCTGCGACTGCGTTTCGGCATTTTTCTGCGACGACTTCTCTTTGCCGAGTTCCTGCAGAGCTTGCCCTGAAAAAAGGTTTGTGCATTTAAATCCCGATATACTTATAGACATGCTGAATGTTGCCAATTTACCCGCACTCTGCATGCAGAGAATGATTTCCTTCTCGATTTCGTCTAGAGCGTGTATTTTATCCAATGGATTCATGGCGGTTTTAAAATGGTAAAAATGGTAAACAAAATTTGTCGGCACTTATCAATTAAATATACGGTCTGACCGTCAGAAATATACCAAAATATACCGTCTCATTTTCAAAATATACCGTAAATATACTGACGAATACTAGTGCTATTATACATATTCCTCGTTTTTGATATTCGGTTTAATATTACTTGCTAGCTAAGATCCTCAGCTCTCAAATCATAACTGTATCCGATTATTAAATCGATTTCCTACAAGTCTGGTTAAATTTAACTTTTTATCTATATTGCATTGCTTATAAAATCAGGTTTAAGCAAAACCGGTCAACAACAATTTCCACTAAATTGATGTCCTTACATGGTAACTACACGCTAACTACACATTTGCTACATATTAAGAGGAAATGTGTTTGTTGACCACTTTGGCCGTTTTTTTTTTTTGAGAGAAACATCCGTTATCCGCTTTTTGACAGTCTTCTGGAGATTGTTCGGAAAATGCTTGAAATCCAGAAGGAGCAGCAGAAATTACAGGATGAGAAAGAATCGTGTGATTTTACAGAAAAATAAATTATTGGTTAACTTTTAATTATTCTTTCTGTGGAGCTGACCATATTATGGTGTATTTTTATTCGTGGAAAGTAATTCTAATAACCTTAAATACGAGTAGGGTATATTTTTGAAAGACGAAAATGAAATTACGGTAAGTCCTTTTTAAGTCCTTATGCACGTGTCAGCAGTGGCTGGTTGCTCGGTTATAGATTTGCGTAAGGTGAGTCCGATGCCATGGTGTCAATTTATTTTATAGTTGTATTGGTACCCAAACCAAACCAGTCGTGCTTGAAGTAGCCTTTGGGTAGCGGCAAGCAATTGTGGTGCAGCTCTATGGCATCTTCTTCCAAATGCCACACCATGAAGCCACGTCCACAATCGATTTGTTTATGCAATGCGAACTGAACGCGATCGCCGAAACGCGACTTGCATTTCCGGCATTCGAACACGCGATCCTGTCTATCGGCGCGAAGGAACTTGCGCACATTCCGGATCTCCTGTAGGCCCCGGAAATGTCCCGCGATATCGGTGTGTATGACGAATGTAGGGGTGTTTTCGACATCGTCATGGCGGATTAGATAGGGCACTGCGTAGAGTTCTTTGGTGCTGGCACAGACACGAAAGCAGTACAAATTCACCTGCAACGCATCCGGCAAGAGGCCAATATGGAATATATCTCTGGGGCTCTGACAGATCTCGGCGAATATAGTGGCATTGTCGGTTCCAGTATCTAACCTCTTTACGCGGTACTGGAGGGGTAGCTTTGCGGTGGATCGCCACTGGACCGATATGGGATTGCTATGACGCTTTACGGTCACTTTCATTCGTCTTATCACGCAAGCCTCCAAGGGAACACGCTGCTGCAGCAGTACATAGTTGCTAATCTTCTCCAGCAACATGGAGAAGAGCATATCCACAGATTCCACAATGTCCAGGTGGTGTTCGACAATCATCGGACTACTTTCGTAATACATTCGTTCCTTCTTCACGTTCACATAAAATCCAATAGTCACCTCCAACTTGGCGGCCCCAAAGCTAAGAAATCGCAACAGTTGGGGCACTGCCTCCATTCCAGCTTCTAATAGGAAGTCATTCGTTCTGCCAGAGACGCTCCCATCGCAGAGCATGAACGCTTCTATTCGCTCCGTCTCGATCCGCTTCAAGAGGAGCCTCTCGTCAGGGCCCATTTTGATTTGGTGGCTTGTTCCGGCAGCATGGTCGTTTTGCCAGTGCCTACTGTAGGGCTCTCTGGTCTCCACACAACTCGTACAGGTGGGACAATCTATTTGCAAATCGTTGACAAAACGCTGATGGTGAAAGATACGCGAATCCCCAATTGTCTCGAAGATGAAGCGGGAGTATGTTCGTCGTAGCATGTTTAGGATTTTACTGATGCCCGACGGATGACTTCTTAAGGATATATATCGTAAGATCTTAAGAATTTTACTTCAATAGGCACGCCCTGATGAATGACCTGGCACAAAAGGGTATTATGCGAGCTGCTAATCAACATCTGTCAGTGCATTTAGACTTAAATCTGTTGACGGACAGGTAAGGAACACCAAACAGGTCAAATATAATAAAAAAAATCTTGATCTGGGATATAAATGTTCGAGCTGTGAACATTTATAGTCCCTGGCGACCAGGTGTATGTATAAACATATGGACGTGCCGATACAATATTACCTACTTTTTTTCAATCAACTAGACGATCTAGAGTATTCTCCTTACCATTGGCTTACCTGCGCCAATTGTGAGTCATTGCTTTAAACAACAAAAGATTCTGTTGTCCCCCTATCAGGTCTGGGCCTAGGTCCTTGGTATGTAGCAACGTAGGATATTTCTATTCTACCAAACAATATATTATACCAAGATATTCAAGCTTATGCAAAAATATTCTCCGAGACTTGGAACGACTGTGCCTTTCCAAGAACTTTGTATTTGCTGTAGTTTTTGAAGTTCCTTGCATGGCCAGCAATGGGGAAGTTCTATAACAACGAAGTCCTTAATAGGAGAAAGCTATTGGCGTTGAATATTCCAATCTTAAATACCACTCAGCTTGACAAAGTGAATAGCTCGGATTTCGAGTTTCGTGGAGTGAACCCTTCCTCAAATTGGCCGACATCTTAAACTCATGGGTACATATGTGTTCATGGACACACCAGAGGCGATCCGCTTTTTCTCCCGCGTGGTTGGGGTTATAACAGTTATATATAAAGGAGATGGATATAGCGATTCCTATATTTAGTATTATACTACTTAATTTAGTAACATATTTCAGCTATTTTAAATGGGAGGACTATCCCGTTGGCCCAACTGCCAGGCAAAAGCCACGAGGAGCCCCAACTCTTAATTCAGTAATATAATTCAGATATTTTAAATGGCGGCCATGTGTGGCGATAGACTGCGCGAAAACAGTTCGTTAGTGGGGGCAGTTCCTCGATATATCACTGCAATTTTTTTTGAAATTATCGATACGCAATGCACTTTTAATGAAACTATCGATGTAGCACCATCTTGCGGCAAGCGGCAGAACCTGTTCATGTTAACATCGTTAGGTGTCGCTACGCGTTATGGCTGCTCGCAGAACTCTTTTGGACTATAATGTGGTAGAAAATCCCCATAGAAAAAGTATATTTTATTATGGAAAAGGTTTGAAATTATAGCGGATAATAAATATTTTTATGATTTGCTTTACATATTTATGGGATCAGGTGACACCTGACGACAGTAATGCGTTATGGCTGCTCGCAGAGCTCTTTTGGCTATTTTGGGGTATAATATTAAAGAGAATTCCGATAGAGCAAGTATCTTTTATTATAGAAAAGGTTTCAAAATATAGCGGGTAATAAATAAATAAATAAAATATTGTTGTGCATTGCTTAAAATATTTATAGGATCGGAGTTCCTTAAATAAGAAACCATAAATATGGCTGAAATTATTTAATGTGCGAAATAAAATCAGAAATAAAATATTTATACATATTTAAAATAAAGACTAACATATTTAGTGTTTCTATCTACAAGTTCCTTTAAAATAGCATATTTTCTTTGATTATCTTTTGTTCTTGTCAATTCCAGAAGGTTTATTGGTCATTCCGCTCTTTTGGCTATTTTGGGGTATATTATGGTAGAAAATACCGATAGAGACGTTTTTTTATGGAAAAGGTTTAAAAATATAGCGAATAAACAATAAATAAATAATATATTGTTATGTTTGCTTTACATATTTATGGGATCAGAGTTCCATAAATAAGAAACCATAAATATGGCTGAAATGTTTTAACGTGCGACTGTAAAACGAAAATGTCCCATCATAATTAAAATATTTACATATATACATATAACATAAACATTTTATATTTTATATTAAATGTATATTTAGTTTTTGTTTCTATCCTCAAGTTTCTTGAAATATCATCTTCGTCTTTGCTTTTTCGTTCTTTTTAATTCCAGAAGGTTTATTTGGTCGTTCCGCTCCTTCAGCTGCACTTTGTAGGAATCCAAAAGTTTTTCATTTTCCTCCTGCTTGGCCAGATAAGACTGCAGTTTCAGGTGAAGACCTTCGACACTGGAGTTGTTGGCACTAGTCTCCTCTATCAATAATTTGAGGTCAGCAATCGATTTCCTTAGCTGCTTGGTGGTGTTCTCGTGCTGGCCAATTTTCCCTTGCGACGCTCTAATCATTTTCATCTTTGATTCGCCTTCCAGTTCCAGCTTCGCTAATCTCTCCTCCATGTTGATATTTCTGGATTTTGTATCCGCGTCCAGCCTTGCTAATTTTGCCTCCAGATCCTTTATGAGGGCCGTTTGCTCTCTGCACTCCTTTGCAGGCTTTTCCCTTTCGGCATTTGAATTTATATCTGCTTGCAAATATTTTTGATGCTCTGCAATTCTCTTCGAAAGTCTCGAAATTCGTAAGTCTCTAAACGAGCGAAAAGGAAAAATTTGCGATTGGCAAGTAGATTGTTCTTGTAGTCTGGCCAACTTTTCCTCGAGTCTAGCTATGGAGCTTTGACGAGATCTGATCTTCGCTGTGTAATCCATGGGAGATTTGATTTCTGATTGAAGATCAGCGAGTCGTTGATTAAGTTGCCCTATCGCAACATGGTACTTCTCAATCTCGGCTTTCTGGCCTACAAGCATTCTGTTGTTTGATTTCGTTTCCGCTTCCAGTTTTGTCAATTTTTGCTCTAGAGTCTTTATGACTAGTGTCTGAGTGCTGATTTTCTCTTGGTACTCCTTCAGCATAGAGGACGAGCTTGTTGAATTGGTTTCCAGTTGAAAGAACAGCTGTTCCATTTCAAAAACGGGGTCATAATGCTTTATAGGCGTCTCCATGCCCATCTAAATTTCGGAGTTACGTTTCTGACGATATTTGTTTATATTTAGACCATCCTGTGCAACAGACATAAGTAAAATGAACACAGGAAATTCGTTGTGCTTTTCAACTTTTACCGGGAATTGATAAGAGTATCTATCTTATTCAAAGATTGGTTTGGAGGCGGACGTGTGCAGGCAATAAAGATAGACGCGTATATTTTATTTGTTTTGTTGACTTATGATTAAGGGCTTATCGCTGATGTTATCTATAAGTGCATATGTATATATGTAAGAGGGAGTGGGCAAGCTGACCCATTGAAGGAGCAGTGGGAAGCAACGCTAACAGCAAATCAGCAGCAAATGAACAGCAGATAAGCAGCAACGGCAGAAGGAGAGCACGGAAGAGAAAAAGAGAAACAGCAAAAACTCTACGGATTTAAAAAAAAAAAATGAATGATCACAAATTGTTCTGCCGAATTATCCGTTTTGCAATTAAAACGAATGAAAGCTGCCGATAGAGCTACAATTCGAAAAGAAATATATGAAATAATGTAGGGAAAATAATGGGAAATGGAGGGCCCCAAATTGATGGCTGCCCAGGGCCCTGTTGAGGGTTGATCCGGCCATGCCTTGCTGCCACTGTTCTGCTGGTTTTAGCTGCTTGATGATATCCTCTTGGTGGCCTCCTTCGATTTTCCGTCCAGTTCCAGTTTTGCCAATTTCTCTTCCAGATCCTTTATGAGGGCTTGCGTGCTGATCTGCCGTTTGTGCTCCAATGAGACTTTTGTTCTTCAGTATATCGGAGCTTATTTCCGGTACTCTATTTGATTGTAGATCAGCAATATTTTGTTTAAGGTGCATAATGCTGTTATTTTGTTGGCTGTGGTGGATTCATTTTTCTTAGCATGTATCATGATTTTCGTGGATTTTGTTCCGCTACCGGCATTGGTAGCTTTTCCTCTTGACACTTCTTATATAGATCCAGAGACACTTTTGGGGCATGTATGTTATCTGTTCTTTCCTTCCAATTTTGTTGGTACTTACTTTATCGACATTCAAATTTCTCGTAATTGCATAGTTTTTCTCTATACTGATTGGAATTATTTGTTAATGTTTAGACCTGTTATTTACGGCGGAAAAAGTGACTAAGCAGGTACTAATAAGAGGGGCATTAAAAACGAATAGAAGTAGTAGAATATGTTTGATGCCAATTAACTATTGGACATCGTATATGTATGTACCCATGGATGTGTGTGCTTATCTGAGAAGGAAATTTGTAATCGATTGCATTGTTGCTATATTATTATTCGTCATATTCCATATTACGACACACAGGCCAGTAATTGAGCGATTTAAATGCAAATGATTTATTTTTAAATTTGGTTTTATCTTCAATTACAACAGAGGATGAGGCAGATTCGGACGAGCCCCGGGAAAACATCTTGCATTTGTCGAGTGGCCAAAATGAATACAAATTGAATCAATTAGGCGGAATCCGCCTTGAAATGAGAGCTACAGATGGAGCAGAGCACCTGGGAGGACGATGGGCGATGGGCTCCAGCGAAATGCAAATTTATTTATTGTATCCCGCGCTCTTTTCGGGCCAAATCAATGTGCGGCCATTGCCTTTGCGCCCCAAAGGTAAGGCGGAAAAGTGGCAGGGAAAACAGGTTAAGTCGAGAGCCAGCAACAAAAGTAGGCAATTAGGTTCCCTTTTTTGCTTCGTTTGTGCTTAAGAAGAAAATACGGTTAAAACGCAGAAGGAAGGTAAACTCAGACGGACACAGGCCCCAGCCCAAGGCGCTGCAGACCGGAACGGAAGCGATGGCGAAACTTTCCGGCTGCAGGCCCCCCTCCCATGGTTAGCGGAAGTTTCTGGCCTGTTTTAGCTTTTGGAACTGCATATGGAGATGGAGCCACCGTATCGATTGCCTGGCGCTCGCACGTTGCATGGACTCCGGCGTTCCATTCCGCCTCCAGACCAATGTTGGTGTCCCCGGGCGACTATTAACCTTTTAAATCGATGTTGTAGGGAAAACCTGGCAAACAAACCTATTTTAGAATAAATGATTCAAAGGAATTGGCCATTACGCAGCGAATTTTACAGTCTCTTATGCGCGACAAGGAAAATATGGGATCTCCATCGAAGAACACAAAACTAATGTCGACTCTTGGAGCACATTCAACATTCCACATTCCACATATCGAGTGTTTCGGCATCATAAAATCGATCTGAAAGGTTCCTTGACTTGAACCTCTGGATGAAAGACTGGGGGGCGAAAGGGCCTAGAAAAATAGATAGTCAGCACAAGAGTTGAAAGCAACGAGGAGAGCAGCAGCAGCAAACTACTTCTAATAACAACAATCAACGCTCCCGACTCCTCTTCTGGTTGTTTGGGTGCTGTGTAATTACATGACAGCAGCAGCAGTAGAAACACCAACAAAACTAAACTAAAACTAAAACAACAACAGCTAAAGCACCGGCAACACCAGCAACACTAGCAGATAACAACAAGAACAACAAGAACAACATCGAACAACTACACCAACATTGGGAATTACGATAATAATTTCCATTTCTAATTTCCTTACCACGCAAAGGCTTTTGCACTTGCCAAGGCTGACAGCCTGGAAGCCCCCACCCCGTCGACCAGTCGAAACTATGCCCCATCCAACACCTCCACTTACCCCAAACTATGCTCTGCTCTGCGCCTCCTCTGGGCTTCCACATCCACTTCCGTCTCCCCACCCCTACATCCATCCACCCATCAGCCTTTCCGGCAGCAGCGGCATAGGCAAGTGGAGCCAGGAGCCAGGAGCCAGGAGCCAGGGCCAGACGTTGGCATAATTTCGATGCAGAAATCTAGCAGAATGCAAATGCAATCATTGACTTTTTAGCTTATAACGAAATAAGCGTCGTGTTTATTGGTTGAATCGCCCTCCTGCACCACCGAGTAAGAGGAAGATGTAGAGATAAGAGGGACAGAGACAACGACAGAGGGAGAGAGAGAGATAGAGAGGAAAATATGGATATGAAGGGTACTGGGAGTGTCTAACATAGGCAGTCATCGGGACACTTACCCAAGAATTGAAAGCAATGGTCTAACCGAAAATTGGGCCAAAGCTAAAATTTTGAGGATAATAATCTACGGCTGTATAGATGATTGTTCCTATTAAATTAATCTAAATGGTTTCGCCATATAAACTTCTACCGCCTGCTATAACGCTTTAATCGAAACTTAATTGGAGTCTCGGTTCAAAGTCTTGTTCCCCGGAACCCGGGACCCGGAACAGGTGCCACTAGACAGCACGCCTCACGAGTGTAACTTTTGTGTATTCTGCTCCTAAGGTGGCTCGCACTGTTGTTGGGATACCTCTTGATGTTTGTTGTAATTTGATAATGCATTTGATTAAGGAAATGAAATTTTTATTAAGGTTGTTTGCTCATTCGCGTCGCTGGCAGCGTGCGCGATTTGCTTTTATGCTGCTCTCACTTTCCCTTTTCCTTTTCGTTTTACTCCTTCTGCGTGTAAGGGACTGTGTGTTGGTGTTGTTTTTTGATAGCCGTTACTCGCAGTGTGCCAGGGTATATGATGCCAGTGAAAGTGTACGTAACAGGTGCGTGGAGGAGTATCCATAAGATAGAGAAGATATATGTATATGGCACGGCCCCTGCGCACTCGTTTCGTTCGTGCGTCAACCCCCGGCTCACTTGCCTTACTCGCTAAAAACGGGAACGTCGACCAAAAATTAGTTTTATTCAGAACACGGAGATATATAATAGCCGAGCCGACATAGCCACCATAGTCCACCAATATCTGAGAGATGCTTGGATTGCTTGGATTTCTGATCATAGTTACGGTAGCAGGGGTAGCATATAGTCGGAATTTCTCGATTATTTCGTTATTTTTTTTTTAAATTTTGTTTCGTTTTCCTGCGATTTGCCACACTTCCTCTCACCTCACCTCTCCACCGTTTGCCCAAACTCTGCAGTTTTCCTTGCGCATAATTTCTTTGAGTGCGGTTTGGAGCTCGGCATTTTACGATGGCCAAAGTGCTTCTTCCCTGATGGGATGGGGAGTTTATAGGTGGTGTTGCGGGGCCGGGGCCGGGGCAGCGGCAGGTGCCGAGACCTCCTTTGTTACGTTGATGCCGCAGTTCTAATGTTGACTTCCTGTTCTACGATTTATTCAAATTTGCATTCGAATGTTTAAATATATTATTGCCGTTCATTGCCTGGATGCGTTTGCTAGTAACATATGACTCTGTTAGGTGAGGACAAAAGAGGTGGAACACATCCCAGGGGCTTTAAAGAAGTCTGCGAGTGAGGATGGTTTCCTTGGGAATAGGCAGTTTTTTAGCAAATAAACAGGGAATATTCCCGATGGCTTAGCACATTATACGAGTATAAACCCAATCATGTGGCATATCACCTTTTTATGGGGGGTTGGGGCATATCGAACCAAGAAAAATCCTAATTGTTTTTGCTGTTCCACATCTTCCCAAAAGCAAGCCAAATTTCTCACATTTCTTATTTTTTTGCACGGCCTGGGAAATGTCACGAAATGAGCGGTGAGGGCTGTTTTGGAGGTGAGGAGAGGGTCTGTCGAGTGCAGCGGAATTCATATTCAACACCAGGGGGGCATCAAGACACCAAAACCCCTTCTTCCGGGCACTAACTAAGTGCACGCTCGTTCAACTCCAAAAACAAACTTTTCCTATTGTTATTACACATTTTTTCCGCTACTTATTCTGTTTCTTTTTGTTTGCTTTTTGTGCCGGGGAATGGTGTGGGCCAATACTCCTCCGGTCGTTGACTTTCCACCAACTTTTCGCTTGACATTTAGCGGAGAAAAACAGCATCAGCAGGAGTGTCAAGAGGCAGCGGAATAGGCAGCGCCAAATATAATTTCAACATGTTAAGTGTTAGCTGACCACGCCACGCCACGCCACGCCACCCACCCGCCACCCACCATCCGGCACCACTCGCCGCCCCCCACAGCCCGCCTTTCGACACTGTCCTATGACAACAATCCTTCTGCAACCACCCCC